TATTTTGAATTAGCTTTTATTTTTATATTTTCAGTTTTAATTTTAGTTTAGGTTTTAGTCATTTTGTTGTGTGCTTTTGTAATTTTTATTAGTATTTTTTTTGTCTTACTATGTGTGTTTAATAAATTTTTATTTCAGTTTTAGATTTAGTTTTCATTTATTTCCAGTTAATAATTTTAGGGATTCAACTTATTTCAGTTTCGGTCATTGCAGCTGAGAAAAATGTCTTTTCATGCATGCAGTATGTTTGTATGTATATTCCAATGTTTAAAGTGCATATTCATATCCACATCAGGAGGATTTTATGGCTTTGGAGATGCATCATGGGAAGGTGTCCTTCCTGTGGGACGCTGGCTCTGGACTCACCAGACTGGAGTATCCCAGCGTTCGGATCAACAATGACAAGTGGCACAGGATCAATGCGACGCGGTTCGTGACTCTCAGTGCTGATGGGACGTTTCAGTTCTTCCCTTTGAACGACAGACTCTGACATCTCCTGTACTGTAATTTTAGGTTTGGGAGACACGGGACCCTCACTGTCCAGCAGACGGACTCTGAACCGCTGCCCGCAGTGAAGACCACAGCGTCTGGGTCCTCCACCATCATGGACGTCAACAAATCCACCTGGGTGTTCGTCGGGGGCCTCGGCGCTCAGGTGAAGGTAAGATGCACATCCGTCTGGTGGTCCTCAGGGTTCCCTTGTATTTGGCCCTGTTTACATCTGTAGTGTTTTTCCCAGAAACCCCCAGCGGTGAAAATGACCCACTTCAGAGGCTGCATTGGTGAAGCTTCGCTCAACGAGAACAACATCGGCTTGTGGAACTACGCTGAGAGACAGGGAGAGTGCGGCGGCTGCTTCATGAGGTAAAACACACCGTTCACCCACCCTAGCAACCATCCAGTTCAGCCTACCAACCGTATAGAGACACAAAGATACCATAGCAACTACCTAGCAACCATTCGTGTTGCCTTGCAGACACTGAAAACACCCTAGCAACTGTCTAGCAACCACTGAAAACACTCTAGAAACTGCCTAGCGACACCCTAGCTACCACCCAGAACAGCTTAGCAACAATCTAAGACAACTAGTACCAGTAGCAGCCACTGAAAACACCATAGCAACTGTATAGCAACCACTGAAAACACTCTAGCAACATCCTAGTGACACCATAACAACAACCAAAATCACCCTAGCAACTACATAGCACCATTCTAGCAACTATGACACCTCACAACTGTCTAGAAACTACTGAAAACACTCTAGCAACATCCTAGCGAAACCCTAGAAAATACATAGCAATGCCCAAGCAGCCATTCATGACACCTAGCAACTGCCTAGTAACCACCCAGAACACCCCGGTAACCACTGAAAACACCATAACAACTGCCTAGGTCACACAACAGCCTAGCAACACCCTAGCAACCACCCAGCGCACACTAACAACCATTCAGCAATGCCCTAGCAACCATCTCTGACACCTAGAAATCACTGAAACCACCATAACTGCCTAGGTCCCACAACAGCCCAGCAACACCCTAGCAACCATCTGTGACACCTAGCAACCACTGAAAACGTCATAACAACTGCCTAGGTCCCACAACTGCCTAGCAACACCCTAGCAACCACTCAGCAATGCCCTAGCAAGCATTTGTGACACCTAGCAACCCCTGAAAACACTAACAACTGCCTAGGTCCCACAACAGCCTTGCGACACCCTAGCAACCACCCAGCACATCCTAACAACCACTCAGCAATGTCCTAGCAACCATCTGTGACA